GTCATTCGGTCTAATTCAATTCGACTCACCACGGTTGGTCATTTAGTGAGTCAATTTAATTCAACTTATTTATTAATAAGTCGAAAAAATTTGAATCTGACTCGACCTACCATGGGTTGGCGTGTTAAACGTGTTGGCTTACCTAATTACAAGTTTTTTTAAAATAAAAAAAATTACATTTCTTTTGTAATTCAAATTTAAATAATTTCACTCTAAAATAACAATTTAAAATAAAAAAAATTAACATACAACTCAAACGTAATCCAAAAGCAAACCCAAAAAACGAATAAATAAGTTTATAATATTGGTAATTTTTGTGTCACTTATTGATTTATAAGATTAGAGTCTTGAATGGATAAATTTATAATATTTTACTCTCTTGAAACATCTATTTCTTTATTTTCATTTATAATATAATACATATGTTAACTAATAATATTGAAACATAAAATAATAAATAATTAAATTAAACTATGTGGGTTGGTGAGTCAACATGGATAACTTGACTCAGCACGGGTTCAATCCGGATGAACCGAGTTCTAAGTAAACCAGATTGAAACTTGTCCCATATAAAAAATTTCATTTTTTTCAAATCCAACTTGGTCTGAACCCGTGATAAGCCGAATTGACTCGCGGGTTCTAATCCACTTTTACAACACTATTAATAATTTTAACAAAATCTATTCATAAACACTTCCTGGTATTACATTAGCATCTCTTTTAGGCCTTGTTCACATGGGAGGATTTGTGAGAGATGATTTGGGGGAGAGTGAGGGTAAATTTTTTGTTGTTTGTTTGAGTGGATTTGAAAGTAATTGAGAGTAGATTTGAAAGTAAAGTTTGTAAGAATTAGTGTAGGATTTGATTGATGTGACAAATTTAAAAAATTTGTTTAAATGGTAGAAATTAAAGATTACCAAAATGTCCCTAGTTATATTTAATTGAAAGAATGTTTATAAAAAGTAAAAAATTAACATTAATTATTAAAATTAATTTTAAAAATGTACAAAATCGTGCTCTGCCTAAACCGTGCTAGGGTTTTACAAACCAGCTACGCAAGAACCCTCAGGGGCCGTCCAGAACAAAATAAGGAAGAAAGATGGTGGCTGACAGGACCCGAGTAGGGGGAGAACCTCGACGAAATCGACAGAGAACTTGTCCTTTCAATTGAGAAGTTGCAAGAGATCCAAGACGAGCTGGAAAAGGTACCAATTCTTCAATATCCCACCCGCTTTCCTTCTTCCTCTTTTTTTGTTTTTTCAATATCGTGGATTACGGATCTTCCCTCGTCTTTTTTTGAGGTTTTTATGTGACGTTGGAAATGTGACTCTGCTTTTGGAGCCTCCGAATTGCACGTGCTAAATGTGATTGCTTTTATGTTTGATTATCTGTTTCTGGTTTCGGAACGTATTGTTTGTGCTTTGTTTTATTTGTTGGCTGTGTTGTTTTAGATCAATGAAGAAGTCAGCGAATACAGACATAAAATTGGGAATCGAATACAAGTTTTTTTATATATGTGAGTGTAACCGTAACCGAATACGGTTTACATATAATCGAATAACTGCATGCATGTTTTTCACTGTGGTATTTTAGAATAACTCGAGGGTAAAGTTGACTTTTTAAACAAAATCCTCTCAAATTCTCGCGGGTGATAAAAATATAACATATCTCGCAAATCCGTTTAAATTATTCTTCGCAAATTTATTCAAACGAACACATTTTAATCAACGCTCGCATTTCCTTTTGAACAGGGTAATTCTTCATGTGAACAGAGCGTTAATGGAAATTTCAGTTGTAATTTCTTAGTTTCTTCATATTTTTTATTTTTAGTCTTCTTGGATTTCTACTTACCTATGCCAAGTTTAATATCAATTAATTACGTTTTTATCAGTTATATTCTTAACATGTATTATAATCTTAAGTAATTTATACGTATACTTGTGTTTTTCTTATTGTGTTTCATCGGATAGAAATAGTAAAATAGTAAATTACACAACTATTTTAGTCACAACTTCGTAAAATGTAACAAAGCATGTAAAATGATTTGGTAGAGGACCTATATAAAATATATAATATTTAAAAATACATCCTATAAAGCTGAAAGAAATATACATAAATTAAAATATTTACAAGAAATAAGTTCAAATAAAATATTTATTTTCAAGTGTATATAATAAAATCATTGCAAGTCACAATAAATATATATATATATATATATATATATATATATATATATATATATATATATATATGAGGATAAGTTATTAAAACAATTTTTTTATCATAAGAAATTATATATAAAAAGAGACATTTAATTAACAAATAAAAACAATTCAATCTCATTCAAATAAAATCTTAAACCAATAATATAGGTTATACATTATCTATTTATCAAGGGTATTTAACAATATAAATATCATATGACACATCTTGAAAGATTAAGTATTTACATATTAACATATAATCTAATTCAAAACTTAATTTACAAGTAAATTAAAGAATAATCAATTATGGTAAATTTATTATAATCAATATCACACTTTATTTTGTCATTACTTAATATTTTATCTTGTATAACTGGATCATTAGAAGTAAGAAGAGATTTATGTAACTACAAATTGATATAATTCTCAATGCTTAATACATAAATCAATAAACAATTCGTATATCATTTCAACTATCTAACTACAAATTCATAGAAGTTTCGTCATTCTCAATAATCAATTCCATACAACATGATTAACTTAAACAAACAAAAATAAACTTATTTAAATGATGATTTTTTCACTAAAGCAAAAATTGAATTTAAAATAAGATTGATTTTAAACTCTATTATCGCTCAGTAAAAATAAGCTAACAGTAAGGTTTTTGGATTTATGTTCTATTCTATTTTTATTTGAGTGAAAATATAAGAAAACTAAACTCTTGTACCAACAAAAAAAAAAATTCAAATGTTTATTCAAATCCACTTTACCAAATATAATTTCAAACAATTCAAAATATCAACGATTCAAAATTTACTCAAACAATATCCTTTACTCATTTCAATTAAACATTACCCATTATTATATTTTTAGTTCACAACACCCTTAAATTAATGCAATTTAACAACTAAAAAATAACAGTTCACCAAATAAACTTATCAACATGAATATTCAATTCAAAATATTCTAAAATAAGTATTTATTAATCCAAAATTAAAAAACAATCAATTTAAACAAAACATCATCCTAGTATAGAAACCAAAACTTTGTCACCAAGTTACATTCACATCAATATCATCTATCTTAACATCTATCAAAAACATAAATAGTTTCCTTATTTATATTTTTTTATTGTAAAGAAAGTTCTAATTCAAACACATACTTACTCAAAATCTAAAAACCTAAAGCAAAATATAAAAACAGTTAAATTTAAGTATGAGTTTAAACAAGTTAAGATAATCTATTTTTTCAACTGATCTTCACCAAAATTAATGACAAAATTATAAAATAAATAAATAACAAATCTCTAAGTAAATAGGAACTTAATCTATTTAAAAATCTAATTAACTAAAATTGATCCTTAAACCGCCAACCTACAATCAAGTATGATTTAAAAAATAAACTAGATATAAAAGACCTTAAAAAAAGAGAAGATATTTGTTAAGAGAAGAAAAAGAAAAGAGAAATTTAGGATGTTACAATTTTATTAGAAACAAATAATTATAGTATTTTCTAGTTCATGTCAAATTTTTCGTTGTAAGAAAAATAATTATTTTATTTATCACATTAAGATTTTTATAATAACAATAATTCAATAGATAAACACGGTGAAAGTGTCTTGAAAATACGAATCCACGTGCTTGCGTTGGTATTAGTCAGGAATTTTCCAATATTTCTTATTATACCTCAACTATTTTTATTCTTATTTCTTATTATTTTAAGTATGCGCAAAAACATGTGTATATTGTTTAAAATTCAGATTATGATAAACCAAATTCTAAATTAGTTTAGATATATAACTCAGAAGTTGGAGGAGAAATAGGATTTGTTAAAGGTGATAGTTGGAGACTCATAGACTCTTCTATTGACCAGCTCAATATGAACAAGTTTGATTATTAAAAAACATTTATTGCAATAAGTGAGATTTTAAATATATTTTAAAATCTTATATATCGTTCTATTTATTTATTAAACGTTAAACTTTTGAAATTTTTCATTTATATTTAACTGTGATTTTTAAAGTTTAAGATACTATCAGTTACTCTTTTATTATTTATATATTTACTTTTAATAACTTTACATACATCGTAATATATATAAAAATAAAAATTATAAATATTGTGTTAAAGCTAATCATGTTTATTCATTAAAAAATGGAAAGAGTAATATTTATTTCTAAAATATAGCATGACTCAATCAAGACCTTTCTATATGATATTTAAAGACCTTTAATATAAATTCAATGAATACAATAATTTTTTTATCTAATAATATAATGGTTTTCAGAGTTCAAATTTATCCTAATATTAATAATCGATCAATGTTTACCATCTCTAACTTCTGTGTTTATTCATCACTCAAGTCCTTTCCAAATCCCAAAACTTTGATATTGGACGTATTATGATTATCACAATTGTCAAATCAATTGATTAGTTGCTAATTAATACGGAGTAGGTTTGCTTCTCAATGACATGTATTTAAAAAATAATAATATTTCTTTTCAACTGCAGTTTAATAAAATAGTGTACTTAGATTTTTTACATTACAATATTTATTTATACACCATAACAAATATATACATATAAAGAAATTAGTTATTATTTTTGTAATAAATTGAACTTTTTGTGAAAAGAAAAGCGTGGGGAGCGAAGGGATAGAAGCGTTTGGAGTCTGAAAAATGAAGAGATGATTGGGGGCCCAAAATTTGAATTCGAAAAGCGAAGAGACAAACAGAGACCTATCCCTCTACATCCTATTCTGTGGTATTGTTTCAAACCACACTATATATATCCTTCCTAACACCACATCCTCTGCCGTAACAAGATAACGAGACAAAAACCCTAGATAACCCCTTTTCTTCAACCTCTCAGTATGGCCAAAAAGAAAATGTCTCATTCAGCCAATTCTCAAGAACCCAAGCACTCCCAAAACGAAACACAAACCATATCAATGGCTACCCTGACCGATGATTCCTATCTTCAACAGATTCAGAGCCTCAGAAACCTCAATGCCAAACTTCTTAAGGAGACCGCTGAGCGCCGCCAACAGATTGACTCCCTCCAGTCGGAGCTACACTGCTCCGCCATCTCCAACAACGACATAGTCGCTGCCTTCGACTTAGAGAAGGTAGTCACTTCGGTTGTCGTGGACAGCCACGTCAAGGAGATGAATCTCTTATTTGGCACACTCCTTGGAGAGAAGAATCGCGAGGTTGAACGTCTCCATCGTGAACGGGAAAGCCTCGCTGTGCGGTTCCAGAACGAGACGAAGCTGTTTGAGGAGAGTGTAAAGAGGGAGGGGAAGCTTCGAGAAGAAGCGGAGAAGCTTAGGTTGGAAGGTGAAAATATGTTGTTGCAGAAACAGAGAGACGTCTCGGAGTTGAAAATGGAGCGAGATTCGGCCCTGAAGAGCTCTCGAGAATCGTTTGAGGCTGTTGAAACGTTGAAGGAAGAGATTGAAGGGTTGAGAAGAGGGAAGGATGAGTTTGTGAAGCTAAGCAAAAGTCAGAAGCAGAAAATAGGTAATCTTGAAGAGGAGTTGACACGAGTCAACGAGTCTTTGAAGATGCAAGAGGAGTCCGTGCGTGTCAGGCTTGACAGTGCGGACGAGAAACTTGGTCTTGCGACGCAGAGGGCGGAGGAGATGACGAGGGAGATCAGTTCCTTGATCGAGGAGAAGAAGAAGATAGAAAAGGTTGTTGAGACGTTGACGGAGGAGAATGTTGGTGTTCGTAAGAGTTTGAATGTGGCTATGAAGGATTTGGGTGATAAGCAGCATGAGGTTGATGAAGCTCTTAGAGTAAAAGGTGAAATAGAGGAGGTGAAGGTTAATCTAGAAAGTGAAATTGTTGGTTTGAGAGTCAAAATCAAAGAATTGGAAGAGTCTTACATGAAGTTTGAAAAGGAAAACTTGCAGTTGCTTTCAGAAGTTGACACTTATAGAAGTGCTGTGAAAGAGGAGGAAGTTGAGAAGGAAAAGATGAAGAAAGAGTTTGAGGAGGAAAAGAAGAAAATGGAGAAATTAGAGCTGCTAACTGCAAAATTGCAGGAAACGGTTGTGAAGAGAGATGCTGATATGGGACAAATGAGAAGTGATAGAGATAAGCTGGGTGAGAATGAAAAGAAGCTGGAGGGCAATGTGAGTGTTTTGAGAAAGGAAAATGAGGCATTGCAGAGTAAGCTTTTGGAGGCAAGAAAGGAAGTTGAGGATGTGAGCGCTAAGATTGATGTTTGGTGCAAAAATTGGAACAAAGCCCTTGCACTGTTGCAGCATACGGCTACACTTGTGTCTCAACAGAAGGATATTGAAGAGGAGGTGATCCGAAATGGTAAGAATGTTGAAGAAATGGAAGAAATAGCTGTTGAAGAAGTGGAAAAAATAAAGAAGGCATTTGAAAGCAAAGAGGAGATGCTGGATGAAATGAAGCAGAAGGTGGTTTCATTGAACAAGTCTGTGGTGGATGCTCACAAAAGTAAGAACATATGGACTGTGTTATCTTCTGCAACTACAATTTTTGCTGCTGCTTTGGTTGCTTATGTTGCTAGAGGACGTTGAATCATTATCCTATTAACTTAGATGAATAACTTTATATCTTACTTGTAATATGATCAAGATGGTTTAGCCGAATATGAATGTCTTGATCTTTATAAAATTTTATCCTTATTATATAGAACAATATGTTGTTTGTTATAATGTTTTTGGCAGGAGAAATGGTTTAGTATTTCAGAGTAACTAAGCAATATATTTTGTTAATTTCTGCATGTGTTTTTTTGGGATTTATATCATTTCTTAACATCTGTTTTTTGTAATTATGTGTGTTACTTAAAAATATAAAATCACAAATTATATATATTTGTTTTTTTTAATTGTGTTTTCATATAATTTTAACCATAAGTAAGATATTATATTTTCAAAACATTTTGGGAACTGTAATTAAGTTTTTTAATGACATGTAAGAATAATTTATGATATTAAAGTAAATACGATTATTAAAGTAAAAAATGTTTATATAATATTAATGTACAAATAAAATTTATAATAAAAATACTATAAGTCAATATTCAGTTTCATATTTTTATAATTTTAAATTTTATTTTTAATATAAATACACGATTATTAAAGAAATGTTATAGTTAAATAGTATTCTTTATAGAAGATATTTTTATAAGTTTTTAATTTTTTAGTAGTTATTGATAAAAAAAATATTATATTTATAAATATTTTAATTATTATATTTATATTTTTACAATTTCATTAATTTAAATTGAAATACTTTTATTATTTTTTAAATTTATACATTTTTTAATGAAAATTACTCCTTACTAAGTTAAAAATTAATGGAAAATTATGATATAATTTTTTTAAGTGTAGTAAGGTAAGTGTCATCTTCTCCATGACCTACGTCATGAAATAAATAATGCTACATGCAACAAAAATTAAAATATAAAATGTTTCAAAGTTTATAAATATTAATTTTTGTTTGGGTATAAGATGGAAGGTCCATTTAAAACAATTTTTTTTGTTACGTGTTTGTTGATTGGTTTGGCAAGCATACCGAATCGTTTCAAGTAATAAATCATGATAAGATCAGTTATCGTTTTTCCTCGTTTTTCCGAAACTCGTAATACTACAGAATTGTGTGATTAACAACTCGTTTAGACTCACATCCATTTACAAGCATGTGCAAGAAAGATAAATTTAAAAGAAAGATAAATTTACAATTAATTACATGGTTGGACTTTTGTGTTTGAAGGCGCTTAGAAATGGAATAAACTAGAAATTGTATGAAATGACATTGTGTAAGACCCATGAAAAATATCTACAATAATACATAATAGTAATTTTTATTAATATTAATATTGGTAGTAATAATTTTCTTATGGATAGAAAATATAATTAATAAGAAAATTATTGTAAGAAAACTTAAAAAAAATTATGATAGAGAATTAAGGGTTCAAAATTTTGAGAACCAATTTTAGAAGTTTTTAAAATATAAAATAAAAAATAATAATAAAAAAAATGAATAGTAAAAAAAAGTGAATAGTGACAAAGGGATAAGCCATCCACAGTGGTGCATATAACGATCAGATAAGTTTTGGATTAAAATAATATTTTTAATAAAATAATATTAAAAAAATGAATAGTAAAAAAAAACTTAGTGTCAAAATTTTGGCCTATAAATAACAAGCAGGGGAGGCTGAATTGCACCCAGAAGAAGTAGAGAAATGTAGTGAGAAATAAAATTTAGGAAGAATTTGAAGTAAGAATTTAGAGGATGATTCTGGAAAAGATGTAAGGGAGCTAACCTTTCTTTCTAGGCTTTTATGTTAATAATTTAATATTATTTTATGACTATTCATGTCTTAAATTATTGTGTATGTCTATGTATTAGTTATTCAACTGTTCAGGCTTGAATTTATGTGTTAGTACTGTTAATATAAAACTATGTTGTTATTTTGAATCTGTGAATAAGAAATTTGTTAAAAACTAGTTGAGGAACAATTTGGCTAAGGAAAAACTTGGTACTTACTTTGTCCATTGTGACGCACCTATCTTTCTTGGAAGTCAACTCGACAAGTTTTTAACTTAAATCCTATTGAACAAATTATATACTGTTAAATTATACTCAATTGATATAAAATATGTGATGAATTCATTATGTTGGATATGAATATGAACATGTGATGAGTCTCGTGGAGAGACTCTATAGTGACATTTTATTAGTGTAACCGTTGATGTTGAGGGTCGCGTTGGGAAGGTCATCCTAATACTTTAATAACTCTCCAATCTCAATTAGAGAAGGATGAATTATATGGTGAGAGGGGCAGGAGGTCCTAGTCTATATGCCGATTTTGGACATAGGTGTTAATGAACTAACCTTGTGATGACAAGGTGGAGTGTATTTGGCCATGATTTTTGTATGGGGAGTGAAGGTCACCACAAGTGCACAATCACCCGTGACTTCCATCAATGTTCTATTTGGATAATAAGAGTCTAGTATAATCGTGTGCATATTACATGAATATGAGTTATATGTAATAGTAGTATCATGCATCATTTTTAATAGCATGTTGCATGATAGCTAACCCTTACTTGTTTATGTATGTGCTGGAAAATCATATTTGTGCGATGATCGTATGACGTGGTTGTTATACAGAAGCATATGAGGAAATCTGGGAGGATTGATGTCAGAAAAAAAATGATGTGGCACTCCACACCGTCAGCCAGGTCAACGCTTTTTTAACGCCGTTAGTTTTACAGGAAGAAAAATTATGGTTTCCTTAAGGAGAAGGCCAAAATGTAGATTAATTTGAAAGAGGGACTAAAAACAAATTCGCTTGATAGTTTAGGGACTAAAAACATATTTAACCATTTAATTAACTTAGGCCAAAACTATAAGACAAGTTATGGTGATAATATAAAGGTGAGTGGAATATGCTCTAAAAGAGGTTATTTTTATTATATTGTTTTTTGTTTTTAAATAACAAATCAAAATAAAAAAACAAAAAATTCAAATAAAACAAAACAAAACTTAAAAACAAATCAAAAGAATTACAAAATTAAAAAATATCAAATAAATATAACATAAAAGTTTCAAAAAATTTAACATAAAATTTCAAATAAAAAAACACATACATAAGAAACAAATAAAAATAACAAAAAAATTATAAAAAAGAGCAAAAATTAAATATTGCAAAATTTAGATAACTAATTCAAATCAATTAACGATGTTAAATTTTAAATAAAAATTAATTAATTTTTATTTATCCTTTCTAACACCAAATCCTACAGTGACAAATTAATTAACAATTTCTTTGTAACACCACAATTAATTAATTTTTATTTATCCCTTACCTCTCTATAAAAGAAAATATCACATTCAGCATAACCCAAACACAAACATGTTAGTTGTTAACACCCAATTTTGTCCGAATAAATAAAATTTATCACAAAAATAAATAAAAAAAAACAAAAAAATAAAAATATTATTTGTTTTACTGTGTGCACCCCCAAATTAAATTTTTAACCCTTAGCCCAATGGTTCAAAATAATCTCATACTTTTTTACTTCCTCACCACTATTTTTTCTTATCACATTCACTCTCCACATCACCATCCACGTCACCTATATTTTTCATTTACTATTACATTTTTCATGTATTTACTTTTTATTTTTATTTTTATTCTTTTCTCCTAACTTTTCTAATTTTTCCACTTACTTTTTTTCATTATATTTTATTTCATCTCATTTCTCCTCCCACCTTTTATATTATTTCTTTCACTTATTTTTCACATTAACTTTTACTGTTTACTATATTTTATTTCACTTACTTTTTCCACCCATTTTTTATATTATTTCATTCATTTATTTTTCATATTAATTTTTACTATTTCCTATATTTTATTTCACCTATTTTCTCCACCAACTTTTTACATTATTTCTTTAACTTATTTTTTACATTAACTTTTACTATTTACTATATTTTATTTCACCTACTTTCTCCACCAACTTTTAATATTATTTCTTTCACTTATTTTCAACATTAATCTTTTCTATTAACTTTTTTTATTATATTTTATTTCACTTAATTTCTCCTCCATATATATATATTATTTTAATTCTATCCACAAGATCTTTGTATTAAATTGATATAAAAAGAAGCATATTGATTGGTTCAAATAGTAACCATTGTTATTTTTTAACCATGTTATCCATGGTTTCTTAAATTTCAAAATGATTATTGGTATCAATATTATAATTTAAAAGATAATTGATACAGAAATATGAAAAGAGAATAATTATAATTATAAAAATTAAGCAGTAATTAAATGTATTTTTTACTTTGAATTAAGTGTATAAATAATTATGAATTTTGATTCTTATTTACTCTTTTTTATAATGAGTTTTAAAAGAATAATTTTCTTAACTTAAAATACTTTATAATGAGAGTATTGGTTAAGTAGATTTTTTTTCAAAGAAATTAAAATTTTAAATTATGAAAGTAATTTTATTACTTTATATTGTAAACTTAAAAAAATACAAATAGCTCATAAATTTTAATGCTATCTTTTCTTTCTCACCTTTTTATCTTTCTAAGTGTTTATTATATTGTCTCTCCATCTCTACCCTAAGTCTTTGTTCTTTCTCTTTTTAAAGCTCTATTAGATATTTAAAATTAAATATTTTTATTTCGTAAATTTTAGATTAAAATTTGAATTATTTAACATATTTAATTTTGCATATAAATAATCAATTACTCTATTTAAGTTAATAATTTGAAATTTGAAATATTTCTAAATTTAATGTATACTTGGTACTCATAACAAATACCAAAAATTAATTTAATTTAAATCAAACATAACAAATTTACGAGATAACTGTTTATAAACTTGCAAATACCATGCATAGACTTAAAATATTAATGAAATACAACATAGTTGAATTGAAAATTGTAAGAAACCTTATTTTTTTTATTAAAAAACACATGCTGACATGCCTACAAAGTCCTATTAGCTTAAATTTGATATATTACAATAATTTAATGTTATCTATTTCTTTATTTTAGATTGCATTGGAAAGTTATGAATTTTCATTTAAATATTTTTTATGAATATAAAAGATTTACATCAATAATGAATAAGTAGAATAATTTCAAAGAATATTTTCAATG